CTCTAATAATAATGTAGTACACTCAGTTGGCAATTTATTGGGTACACCTAGCGAAAAGTAATACACTCTCATAGAACAGTCCTGCAATAAACACAACCTTCATAAAAGTTAGAGTTTTCAGTTTTTGTTTAACCGGTTTTAGAGAGGTGTTGATTCAACTTTCATTAGAGGCTTTAGCTTTAGAGGCTGCAGTTTGGGTTAAATTGCATTGTTTTACTGAGAAGAATTTCTGACATTTTGTCCACTGCACTGACATCCGTGAGGGTAGAGTAAATATTAGAAACAGCTCTGAGTATAATGCAAAACCAAATCAACAAAACACTGAACATTATAATGGATTTGTTGCAAGGCTGCAGTAGTTTTAGCTGGGTGTACCTACGTAAGTGCCAGCTGAGTGTGTGTCTATTTGAAAAAAAAATTGTTCACTTAGAAAAGCCACCATTTATATACTAATAAATGGAAAAGCACTTTCTACTTTCAACTTGATTTTTAGCAGCTAAGTTGACATCTGTTGGTGGGCAACTTCCAGTTAGTGCAAAATAGGATAGTATATTCACTTTTGCATACTAACTGTTAAAACAGTGCTAAGCAAAAATGAAAAGGTGAAAACGTATTATATATAGCACTGAACTGTGACTCACTGTTTTTTTTTTTTGCAACACAAGCACGTCCTGCTAATAAACCCAGTTTTAACAACCAGAGATATAAACTGGTATTTCAAAGTTTAGCCTCTCTAAAACAATCAGTCTAGTCCTATAAGACATGCTAATATGAGCTTTACAAAGCTCTACTTGACACATCCATCCACTTCTTGTGATGACATAGTACACCTCTCAAGCATGCAGTGAGTCTCTGCAGGCTGCTTTTGATCCCTTTAGGAACAGAATGGGAGGGACTGACGTACAACAGAGATAATGAAGTAGAGTGGGCACAAAAGTGAACAATCCACTCCTGCTGGTGAAAAGAATCAAAGGCCAAAACCAGGCTTTAATTGCATTTTTAAATTGTTTAATAGATGATTAATGTTTTTGTGCTTTTGTTTTAGTGAGGCTAAGACAATTTCCCACACTGGTGGACAAAAAAGTTGCATTCTATTCCTCTATTCTATGAATAGTTTTACATAGGAGACTGAAACAAATTGGGTGTACCTGACTCACTCTGCTCCGCTAACAGGGCTGTGTCATCTGAGATAGAGACAGCCTTAGACAGATGAGCCTTAACTTACCTGCAAGTACATCTGTGTGAGGTTGGACTCCCCAGTCTTCCTGTCAATCTTGAACTCCTCATAGTATCTGGAAAAAAAGTGGGTTGACATAATTTATTAAATAAACCTTCATTATCAGTTAGCCATCAGCCCATCTGAATACCTGCTAAGGCCTCACCATGCCTCTCTTACCTCTGCTTACTCAACCGCATGAAATGATTCTTTCACCATGACCTGATTGTATTGTCAGGCCTTTCATTTTGCCTCTAAATTGACCGAAACTACTGCAGACAATATCATTAAGACAATGGGAGCAAATTTCCCTCCCATTCCCAGACTGTGCTTGCAGGAGATTTTGGTGAAAGACATATTTGGGAAGTCTCAGCAGAGCTGAGCAGAGGGAACTGTTATGAGGCGTTGCCGAAGCGTGGCGCGGTGAGCGGAGAAGCAGTGACAGGCATCTCTCTTTCTTACGCTTCACTTCCTCCAGGTGTCTCCGCATATAGCCAATGCAACCTGCCGTCTCTTGAGGGCGTGTGTGTCTGTGTGTATACGTGTCTATTTGTGTGTGTATGTCTGTCCAGGGCCCAGGTATGCAGCGCTGATTAAACCCACGGCTAAGCGAAAAACACGCCCGGCTGCCAGTTCCAATGACCCTGAATACACATATGGCTGTTTTGGGGAAAACAAATGGGCGGAAAATGGAATACACAAGCACAGCTGGTACAGAGAAAGAAGAGGAGGGGAGACACTCATCTCATCCAGAGGAGCAGCCAGCCAAACTATTCCTCTGAGTCATGGGGAAAGAACATTTTTATAGATTCTCAACCTCTGCTTCTGTCTGCTGTTATGTATATCTGAGTGCTTGAGTGTGATACTACCTGCCAACCATCTCAGAGTTGTTGTAGACAGGGATGTTGGGTCTGACGCTGCTGTTGTAGGGGCCAAAGTGGCAGTTTGGTGCACCGAACCATTCATCAAAACCATTCTCCAGAGGCAGGTACTGTGGTCTGTGGCCCAGATGCCTGTAGTGACAAACAAAGTGCAATCACACAGTGCAAGATCAATGTGGCTGAAGGATGGTTTTCATGTTTTTGCATGTTTAAATTTAGACCACTAATACAAAATCACATATACTTGTGCTACGACATACCATTGTAATGTATACTGTGGAAATTATCATTAGAAATGTATAGATCATTTGTAATAAATTTGTAATCCATTTAAAAAAAATCATTAAAATTCTATTTATTTTTCCAATTTACCAACGTGGAAAGAGCAGTGGATAGTGGTGACTCACATCATTCAGCTCATTCAGACTGTTAATTCATACTCATGGGCTGCATTTATATAATGCTTTTATGCAAATCGCTTTACGTTTTGCATCTCGTTCACCATCAGGAGCAATTTGGGGTTGGGTGTCCTGCTCAAGGACACTTCTGCATGTGGACAGACTATCTCCTGAGCCACAGCCACCATCACCTATCGTCATCAGCATAACCTCTAAACTTCAGGAACCTCTAAAAACCAGGATTAAAGAAAGATAAAGGGCTCACCACTTGCCAACTATCTTGCTGACGTAGCCCTTTTTCTTCAGCATCTGGGGTAACAAAATCTCATCCTTAGAGATTCCTCCCACTATCTCCTGTGGTGTGTATGCTATAAAAAAAGGTCAAATTTTAGTGTACAAAACTTTCCATTACTTTATTGCACACTGTACATTATAGACTAAGTAATGAGAAAACCTGCAAGAAATTATTTGCAGCTGGATGATTTGCACAGTAAGGATATACTGAGTGCGTACCGTTTCTGGCGTGGGCATTAGTGGTGTAGAAGCCGTTTCTGACAGGTAACCTCCCGCTGAGTAATGCCGCTCTGGCTGTCATTAAATAATAGAAAAAAAGTCATTAGGATTTCTGTATGTTGGTCTTTTAAATGCTTTTTTACTGTCAAACAAATACTGGTGTCCTCTTCCCAATGTTACATACTGTATATTGGAGATTACAAATTAATTTGTCCAACCCGTAAAGTATTTTGGTTATATTGGTTTATTCAACAATTATACCTTTATCTTTCAGCTTTTTAAGAATTTGTTTTCTGTAACTACCAAGTTTAATACCCTTTACGCATCTCTGCTATACTCCATTATGTACCCAATCAACCTTTATCAAATCTAATCTCTGCAGTCAGGAGAAAACCTGTATCTCCACAGTTCAACTCAAAAAGAAGCATCTTTTCAGCTATGCTCTGCATTTTTTAAGTCTATCAGAATCAGAAATACTTTAATAATCCCAGGGGGAAGTTACTTAAAATATTATATATATATATAACATAATATAATATATTAAATTACTTTATCTATCTACTTTCCATGAACAAAAAAGGCACACAAACTCTATTCTGAATACATAGCTTTTTATACAGATACCTAAAAGCATGAAAGTGTTCAAACTAGAATTGAAAGGTTTCTCACAAGAGTTGTATTTGAAGATGCGATGTGCAAGCTTAATTTAAGCCAGTGGTGGAGGAAGTATTCAGGAAGTACTAATATCACAATGATAAAAACACTGTAAAAAGTGTGAAAACTTAATTAGAGTATTGAAGGTAAGAGTACTTAATGCAGAAAAATGGCTCCTGTGACTGTTAAATTACTATTTTCAATATGGATTCACCTGCTGATTATTTCAACATCTGAATGATGTGACAATAAAAAACACAAGTAGAGATCGAAGGCTGCAACTGCGATAAGAGAAATGAATCTAACATCTTTCAAAACAGGAACTGCTGGTTCAGGTTCTGTTTTGCAACATTTTCAGCTGACTCACATGGGGAACAGAGTGGGTTGGCAGTGTAGAAATTTGGAAGCAGCATGCCCTGAGCAGCCATCTCATCCAGGTTTGGGGTCTCTTTAGAAGGCTGGCCAAACACCCCCAAGTCTCCCCAACCCATCTGAAGAGCACAGTGGACATAGGGATAGCTTATTAACAACTCCTGTCTACATTCACACCAAGAAAGGTAAAACACACATGCAAAGACAGACATAGACACAGGCTGCAGTGTTCAGTTTGATGTACAGAAACACAGTTACTCCTCAGAGAGAGATATAAAACAAACACAGAGAAAATGAAAGCGACAGAGACATATTCTCTCAGACTCATCCACTCCTGAAACAGAGCAAAAGACACGAGGGAAAGAGAAAATAACTTACATCATCCATGAGCATGACGATGATGTTTGGAGGTGAAATATTTGGTGCCTTTTCTGTCAGGGAACAACATATTATTGCACAAAACAGAGTTAGAGTTACAGTACACATCACTCGCCTTGCTAAGCTTTAGTCATATGAGCATCAACCTCGAGGAAGTGGTTTGTTTGCCTTCGTGCGGGTCTTCAGCGCAGCGCTTGCGCATACATAATAGAGCAATTGTTTTAAATGTTTAAATTTTAAATGAATTTAGATAAATTTGAATTTAGATGAATTTAATAGATTTTTATTTTGTTGACTTCTGATTTTGGTAGCGTTGTATAGCAGGATTAAATCGTTAAAATTGAGCGTAAAATTGTTCCTTGACTTTTGGTGCATTCAGGGACTTATGATAAATGTTGTACGTCCGAGATCAAATTTGAAATTGCCCGGAAAGAATGAAAACATGAACCATGTAACAAATGTATTTTGGTCAATAAAATATCAAACTTACAATATAAATAAGTTGCATGAATAATGGAGCTAAAACTAATGGTGTGTAAAACATAACAAAATCAGCCACTCTTCAATAAGCCCACTTTTACAACAACCTTTGAATGCAACATAACACGTGATAGCATCTGACAGCTCAGAGGAGGAACACCAACATGGCGGTGTGTATAGCAGTAATCGCAAAAGAGGTAATTATTCGTGTTGTTAAATGTCCCAGATATTATCCACAGCCGGTTTCTTAGAGTTAAAGTATTGTCCTTGTTCTCTAAATCGTCTCTAGGTAAATGTCAGCTTTCTGTGTAGGTCCAGCGGGTTGAAATACCCAAACAGAGCAACGTTAACAGCTAACATTAACTTAGCATCGTTTTATTCTGGCTGCTGTTACCAATTAGTGTTTGTGCAAGGGGTTCAAACAGGTTCGTTATTAAGTGTTTGTACTCTTTATGACCTTTTCCCAGAACTACCCGCTGTATATTCGCAGTGTGCCCACTCAAAATGAGCTGAAGTTTCACTACACAGTACACACCTCTCTGGATGTGGTGGAGGAGAAGATCTCAGCTGTGGGCAAATCTTTGGGAGACCAGAGAGAGCTGTACCTGGGTCTGCTCTATCCCACTGAAGACTACAAAGTGTATCCTTGTGTTTTTTTAAAAGGTTAAGGGTTGGGATAACCAAGACAAGTGCTCCAAGCGCCTGATTTATGTTTTAAGTAGATTTTCCTTCCTTTATAGGGTTTATACTGTGATCTAAGGTTAATTATGTTTTTAACAGCAGTGTTAACATATCTTTATTGTAGCTGAAGAATATAATTAAATGTACAAAGCTTTACTAACCAAGAAAGAGGCGGAAACCTCATATATGCCTGTATTACAAGAAGCATTCCTCCTATTTATTGTAGAATGGATAAAGTCTGATTGTTAAGTGTGTGAGACTTGCAAATACTGTAATCGTCTCTTACAGGGGTAACTGAATGTCCTTAACTGGCAATCTAGATATGGATATGTAACCAACTCCAAGGTGAAATTTGTCATTGTTGTGGACTCATCAAACACATCATTACGGGACAATGAAATTAGAAGTGTAAGTTGAGCCTAAATTGATTGCATGTCTAATAATCAAACACAGCCCAACAAGCATAATTCTCCAAAAGCCACATTTGTATTGTGTAATACACATCTACAAACTCTGTCAGGATGCTGATCTTATGTTATACAGTATGTGTGCAAGTGCTGAATTATACTTTGTTGCCTTATACCTAATGAACAAACAAACGTTAGTTTTCTACAATGTTTTTCACTGTAATGATCTTACAGATGAATTTATGTAAGCTAATTTCAGAAAAGCTGCTACAATACTGTCAAAGACTTTTGTAGTAGAGCTTTTTGATATTTTCTCAGTGCAGCTGTCAAGGCAACTTAGTCCTGCTACACATACATGATCCTGCGATACAATTTGATGTGCTTGTTGATTTTTTTTAACTTTAAATGGTTTAAAGCAGTAACTTGTTCTATTCCAGATGTTCAGAAAATTACACAATTCTTTTACCGATGTGATGTGCAACCCATTCCACAATCCTGGGGACCCCATTCAGTCTAAGTGAGTTCATTCTTCTAAAACTTGATGTTCAACAAGATTTGCGTCACTATTTTCCTAATATGGCAGTGTTTCATTGTTTTACAATCATTCTCCAGGGCCTTTGATGGTATCGTATCTGGAATGATGGTGCAAACTGGCTGACATCCCGTCTACCCCTTCGTCTGAGCTTCCACTGTACAGAATACCCCTAATTTTTTGCTGACATGTTGCCTTGATTATTGAAATGCCGACGTAATAAATCTTAACTATTGTTGTACATCACTACGTGTGTTATTTACTACAAATGGAGCACCGGATCATTATTTTATTTATTCATTCACTTACATAGCAAAGAACTTATAAGTTATACATAGGGAGGATTTATACATAACATTGCAGGCAGCAACACGATACATTCGCATCAATTTGTAAAAACGGTAAGAGATGCAAACTGCATAACATTTTGAGGATTGTCCCATGCATTCACAGCAACATAAGCTTATAATGCAACACCTCTGACTCCAGTCCTCATTCTTCACATCTCAGCTACTGGAAGGACTGATGCAGGGGTGCAAATTAGAAAGTCATCTCTGCCATCCGTTCTGGCTTTCTCACGTGATGCTCAACTCAGCAATTCCTGGAAACACTTCTTTTAAAATGAATCAGTTCTATTCACCCACTTTAGTATGTATGCTGTGGGTAGCGCTAGCGCTGTTGAGGGTAGTGCTGTCCACTCGACCCTGCCCCCAACTCCTCTGATGGTGGGGTGATGAGAAGAAGACATGGATATCGTTTAGGCATCTGTTCATGGTAGTCCATGTGTCCCCACTGTCTCTTCCCCACTGAGGGGCCTCCGTAGTAAGGGTGGGGCGTTTGATGTTGTGGCCTGGTCGATTGGTACCGGAACCTCCCTCGGGAGCTGTTCTGGTATCGGGGTGGACGGTAACCACGGCCTCTCCCTCTGGAGTGGCCACCTCGGTGACCACCTCCCCTGTCTGTGGTGCTGATGCCGGGCATGTTGGTCCTCTTAGGCATTACCTGCAAGCCAAAGAACACTGGTTTTTACTGTACTGTTTAGGATGATTGAGAACTGTTTAAAGATATACCATGTTTGCTGTTCAGAATATAAAGACAAGTAAAATTTATTGCAAAATGGAAGATATGGGTGCTCTGACAGGCTTGCTTTAAAAGGAATATTTAAAATCAAATTACATGACTTTTTATGTTTGTTCTTACGTACACCAAAACATGTGCAAGGTTATTTTCTCCAGTGGATCAAATGGTATTTCTCAATTCAACAGGAGGGATAATGATGAATCATAAGAGGAAGTGCTAAATTGCAGCTCTACCCATCTAAAACTGTTTAAACACTACTACACGATATCCTTCCCCTGACAAAACCAAGCACATATCTATACCATACTATCTGCAACTTTCCTAAAATCTAGTGTTAGTTTTACCTTGGGTGCTGTAGACTTGGCTGTTTTAGATTGTGAGTAGCCAACTAGTCTGAGGGTAAGACTAACGTGTAGTGTAATGCTCCTCACCTTAAGGACTCTTCCTCTGAACAACGTCTCATGCAAACCAATAGCACTATGCACAGAGTCTCGATCAGAGAATTCAATGTAAGCAAAGCTGTGAGGGGGGGAGAGAAAAGACCAACAATAACATAAACCTTGATGCAAACATACTTAGCTGTATTCTATGGTAGGAAAAAGAAAAAAAGTATAAATACATAAGTAAATGCTAAAAGTTGAACCCACCCCTTGGGATGACCAGAGAACCTGTCACACAGGATGGTAACTCGGTTGACAGGGCCACAGCCGTTGAAATGGATCTCCAGCTCATCTGCAGTAGCCCCATAGTCTACCTAGGATTTGTTCAACAGTGCGTCAGACTAGAGGTGTGAAAAAACACATGCTCAGTATGAAGAAAAGACAGATGGACAAGTCTTACATTTCCTACATAGACTGATCTGTTGTCTGCGTCTATCCTCTCCTCAGGAGTCATATTGTAGAAAGGTCCTGTGAAGTGAAGGAAACAAAAACAATTGTATATACTGCTGTCGCACATGCAATGTAAAAGCATGTTCTGTCTACACTGGGTTCACTCCAGGTGAAATGAACACAACGGTTACTTTTTAACCAACGTATCAACTTCTTGCATCATCTTTGACAATACACATCTCAGAATCAGAATCCGGCTCCCCTCTGATTGTATCTCTGTTCTGAGGAACCGAAAGGGGAGGAAAGAGAGGGTGGAAGGGATGAGGAGACGCACAGAGGCAGAAAATCGCCACAGGCAGCAAGGAGGACCCTTCTGGTTCTCTGGGGCTCACTGCTTCGTCTCATTGGGCAGTGATGAGGCACATGTGAAGTGTCCCAGGTGTTAGCCAGATGGTGAAGAATGTGGCTACCTCTCCTGCCGGGAGCCCGAGATGCTACACACCTGGCTAAGAATACGCTGTCGAGGCTTCCTAAATGCATAATCAGCATTTAGCTGTACAACAATGTGACACAATAACAAACCACAAGGCGGATAAGACCCGTGTGTGCTGCCTCACCGGGCCGAGGGCTGCTGGTCAGGAGCTGCATCTCTCCTGCATCACACCTCTCCTCCTCCTTCAGTCTTTCCGACTCTTCTTCCATTTCCAGCTCCTGAACCCTGGCCTTGATGGCCGCCAGCTCCTGGGAAAAATACACAAGCATGGAAACATGATCATCCAGTCACTGTGGACTTAAGCTGAATACACTGAAAACCAGACTGGTGACAAATTACAAGGAAAACCTGAATGAATGAATGAATGAATGAGTGCAAAAACATAAAGGCGAATAAGAATATCTTTTGGATGAATGGCATTAAGTCAGTGGCGTGTGGTGGCCCAACATCTTTAAGAACTACACTTTCTTTAATTTGTCACCCATCTGTGAATTGATTGTGACATAAAAAGATATAGCGTGATAGCCTGGATATTGTCTTGTATATAAATCTGCATTACAATGAAACTATGTGGTTAAACAGTAGTGGTTTGGTATCTGAAAATGTAGTGACCAGAAGGGATTGACTTCTTTGGACCAGCATGTCTATGTTATTATTTGAAGTTGTAGTGAAGTAAATATCCTACAATATCTTAAAATACAGTCAATTTGAACGCACAATGAACATTTGATACTGTCCAGATAGAGTTTTCCATGTAGCTGGCCTGAGGTTTTAATATCTATACGTAAAACAGGATTTTACCATCAGTTATTTAAGTGTCTGAACCCCACTGTGTGTTCTTCCACCTGGACATGCACACGATTGGCTCCATGTCGAACAAGTCCCTCAGCATGTTACACTGGATGTGGCTCACGGATGTTGTTCTTTGTACATAACGTTTATCAGTGATATATATATATATTACATATGGATATAACGACACTACATAGCATAGCTTATGTTTGCGTTTGTCCAACGTGACAACCGTCATTTGTTCGCCCACCCGACGTGCGTACAAACGAACAAATGTTGACGGCAGCCTTTTGATTCACTGCAAACACAATGATACCCACCGGGTCCTCGGCGAAATGCTCCCCCATGGACTCGCCCTCCAGGTAGCCGTACTCCAGATGATTTTCCGCCATGCTCACTGCTCAAACATGGCATCTGCAAAGCCGACTGCAGCTTGCCGAAAAAAAAAAAAAACAACCCGCCACAGAAAATACCTCACAGTTAGGGAAACGGGCTGATGGTGCACGGACACGACACCTGACAGCATATGAGGTAAGCTAATAGATATCACCTGTGAATGAGACACATGACGCGCTGGATTGATTGACAGGAGCGCGCACGTGAGAGCGACGCTGGAAGAGAGAGTCTACGTCCCAGTGGCGCATCGACGAGGGGCCGACCCTCTCCTCTGCCCTTAGTACCCTTATTCATTCCTCTCCTCACCTCTCCCCCATGACTTACACCTAGTAAAACTACAGTTAGGCTACAATATTATATTTTGTACAACATTCCTTTACAGTAAATGACAGTAATTCTTCAAAATCGAACAGAATTTATTTGGTACATTTTGTTGAAGCCTAGCTATTTGACAGAAATCACAGGAAGTTTTGTTGCAGCCTAATCTTTAGATGTTATTTGGTGATTTAAACTCACTCCCTTAAGAAACTACAAAACTATCCATTTTGCATATGTGATGTAAGGTTTGATTGTATGGTTTACACTGTGCTTTTTTTTAACAAGACATGTTAAAATGTCTGTGAAAACCACAAACTTTGTGATATTACACCTGTGGAATAATATGTTCATTTTGTGTGAATATGACAAAGACAGCAACAAAAACCTAATTGTAGGGAGAAATATTGCAAGTTTCGACCACTAGAATTTTACAATATACAGGAAATTTGAAGAGTTACTTGATTATTGCATTTAGTGTATTTATCCATCTAGTTTTCCCCTTTTATTTCCCCTTAAGTAGTGTTGAAGAATCATTATCATCATTAGTATTCTATTTGACAGTTTATATTCAGTTGTTGTAACTCGTCAGTGAAGCTATATGATGATATACTAAGTATTTTTTTACTTAAAAACCATCAAATTCCATTGAATGGAAATATTTTGGACGTTTTGTGCAAATTCAGCCTGACATATCTAGTGTATGGAAGCGAGTGTATAGAAGCGTTGGGATCTCCACTAGAATTTAAAACAACATTTTGTGGGTATAAACAAAGTTTTTCTGCACAGCATGAGTTTGTACTGACTGACTCACCAGCATCTTGCAAGGTTTAACCTGGTCAGAATGTACGATAGATGTAATTGATCAAATTAAAATTTTAATTAGTTTAGTAGAATATATGTGAACTCGAAGAATATATGTCTTTAAGCATCTTTCAAATTATAAATACTTGTGACAGTAATGATGTCAAAGACATGGACTGAGCTTGTTTGTGTGCTATACATTCAAAAGTGTGTGGGAGTGTTGGCATATAATTTGAAAACATTATATGAATTTTTCAGTATGTTCTTTAGATCTGCTGCTATCCTATTTCTGACCCAAGGGAATGCAATAATACAGTATGACTTCTGAAGTTTACAGTGATAACTTTGTGTTACTAATGATTCAGTAACAAGGGATCATTTTCCTCTTCTGAGGATGTCATCTCAGAGTATGCCTGAGTGTAAAGAAGAAAAGCAACAAGAGTGATGAATATTTCATTTCATGTTTTAATTACACAGTTACATTGTTCAACACAGACAATAACCTGAATTAGAATGTTTTACAGCTTCACACATCCAACAGAGCGAACAGTTAAAGAGCGGTATTAGCAACAGGGAGGAAAGCATGCAAGAAATAAATACAAATCAGAATTTAATTCTTCTGGCACAGTTAACTTCATCTAAAAACGGCAACAGGACCTTTTGAAGAGGGAAATAAAACAAAAGGAGAAAGATCTTCAAAGCGCCAACCTTTCCTACAGAAACATGTTTTTTCTGTAATAATGTATTGCACAATACAGTATAGAATGCTTCCCTACACATATAAAACCATAAACCTTTTTTCAATTTATGTAAAGGTAAAAACAGGACCATCCTGAGCCATGGCTTTTGGGAAAACAAGTGCTGAATCCACTGTTTGCCACTTTAGCTTTCTGCTGTAGCTATTCATCAGTGCCTGTTTCACAGGAAGGACGTGTCACCATCACATCAGATGAGCCTTGAAACTTCATTGGTAGAGTTACTGGTTAGGGTAGGGAGAGACAAATGCCAACCTGCTAATATTTGTCTTTTCTAAACATGCGATTTGCCCATATCATGTACAAAATTAAACAAATAGAAAAGTGGCTGATGTAAATTGTTCAGAGACCCTTGGATGGTATTCACAATAGCAGAGCCCTTATGCGTTAGCCATCTATAATATCTTCACAGAGAAAGGGATGTGACACCTCAGCACATATCTCAATTGTTTCATGACTTAATGAAGCTGAACAGAACATTGAATCTCAGAATCTCAGGGAAGGACAATTTGCTCTTTCCTCTACAGCTCAGATTTTTGTAGGACTGCTGCAAAATCGACCACGTTGAAGTTCTCTAATGCTGGGACATAACACAAAAACCTGAACCAAAGTGAAATCTGAAGAAGAAAGTTGTAGCTTTTGGTTGTATTTTGGTCATTTATAATAGATCTATTGGGTTTGGCTTTGTTTAGTTTATCTTAGGGCTGACTTGCAGACAAGGAGGCACATGCAAAGCACTTAAGAGTTGAATGGAACTGTCATTACAATGTTGTTTTGATGAGGATATTGTACGCAAATACCGTATTTTACTGCACAAAGCTGTTGCTACATTTTGTGAATCGATCTGCCACTATAGTCTGTCTGGGATGTTTCATTAAAGCTCTGAAGGTTTCAAGTAGTTTGTACAGAGACATGAAAAAAATTCTTTGTTTTCTTTTTTTTTTTACAAAAACACACACGCCACCATTCACACAAAAAACACCCACCCACCATGTATTCATTTTATCTCTGCAATGCTTTGTAACTGTAAGAACATGCAATCAGTAGGCTTTTCCAAAGGAGATGCTTCCATTATTTTTACAGAAGCACTATTCAATATGTAGACAACAAGCGCTTTGATTGCTTGAATAAGAACTCTACACATATAAAACTCAGCCGGTTTACTGAGTGTGCTCTTCACTCTTGTGCCCTGATTGTGTACATTTCAGACACTTTGGTTAACTGGTGTAGTGGAGCTCTAACCTTATTATTTCTGATCTGTCAATACACCTTGTGTCAAAGCCTACTATGCAGGAGTACTTTGGTTTGTGCTTTTATTGGTTTTGGACAACAAATGGCATGTCATGGTTGATTCTGTTTTCAGTTAAGTAAGGTTTGACTGTATGTGTACTTAATTAATTCCAGCAGTATTAGTTTGGTTAGTGGGATGCGATCAGAAAGGAGAAGTCTGCTGAGAATAAATATTCTTCTACATCATGAGTAATGGCAATTCCTTTCAACGTTTTAGTTTTTATCATTTTTCAGGCGGATTCACATTAGCGCTTTTAAATGTGCATTTCCATGTCTGCTCTTAGCCCAGCTTTTCAAAGTCCAGGTCAACCTCTCCTGGTGGTTAGCTGTATGGTCACAGGAGGTAGCTAGTGTGAAGGGCGCATTATGAAGAGTGGTCTGTGGTAATAGTGGAGGAAAAAGGAAACAAAAAGGCTGAGGTCAACATCAAATCACGGTAATTATAACACACATACAGAAATGCTACACACAGATGCAGGGGTATCTTGTCGCGTATCCCTTTTGAATTATATGTCTCAGATAGTCAAAAAAAATGTATTACTTTATCTATTTTTTGTTGAATAAAAAGCAACGTTTTTGCCACTCACTGCAAAAAGAAGAAGAGTTACCTATTTTTCTTTTTTTTTTTTTCAAGTTTGGTCCAAGTGTTTATGAGGTCAACCATGTAGGGTTTACAATGATCAATATCAAATTTGTGAGCATGGCCCTCTGTTGCTTTAAGTAAAGGCCTTTGGACTGTTTAACACACATAGAGGTGATCATATTGCTAGAGCATGTGGGAAGGGCTGAAATAAATAAAATAAACCTTAAAGAGGTGAAGCTTCTTTCTTGGCCTGGAAATAAAGACCCATACCAGATCTTTAGCTTATGCTCAAATTGCATCTTTACAAATACTCAGAAACAAAAACAAACAAAAAAGAAATGAAAAAGAAAGAAACATTTCAGAGATTGGGTATCAAAATTAGGTTTTAGGTTTACTGTAGCTTAACACTGGCATATCACTGAATCCTACAGTAATGGCTTGTCCTGCACCTTGGGGGAAACAAACACTCCTAACACACACACACACA